GCCCGCCCGCAGGCGCTGGGGAGCCATGGAAGGCTGTCGGGCGGCGCACAGAAACTGAGGTGCTGCGAACCCTGGAGCTGGTCCCCCTCACGGAGCGTGCCCATTGCGGTACTGGTGCCTGGGGAGACTTACGCCTGCTGCCTCCACCTCATGGAGCCCGTGGCCCGGCCGCCCCCGGCCCGGCGCCTGACCGCGCTCTCGTGGCAGTGCGCATCGGGGCGATGCTGGCCTACACGCCGCTGGACGAGAAGAGCCTGGCGCTGCTGCTCAACTACCTGCACGATTTCCTCAAGTGAGTCCCGCGGCGCGGCGGCGGGGCGGCGGCCCTTGCTGGACGCTGCTGACCCCGGGCGGGCGGAAGGAGGCCGAGCCGCGGCGCGGCGGCGGGGCTCCAGCCTGGTCCCCGCAGTGTCTGCAGGGGCGCCCCTCCCACGGGGGTCTCCCCGCCCCTTCCCCCTCTGCTCCCGGGGGGCCCAGGGGTCTGCAGCAGTTGTGGCTCGACACGCTGACCCCACCCTCCGGGCCGTGGCCGTGCAGCAGCCCCAGGGCCAGGCTGGCCTCGGGGCAGGTGGGCTGGACAGGCGGGCGCGCCAGGAGGCCCTGGGCCGAGGGCCGGTCTGGACGCGGGGGTCTGCGGGGTGGGAGGCGCGTCCAGCCCCCTCACTGGCCCCAGGTGCTCGGCCTGGCTGCCCGTGAAACGTGAGCCAAACAAGGCCCGCCCGCTGGGTGCCCCCCCGCAGCGGCTTGCTCCCCCATCGGCTGGCGACCCCCCCCAGCGGCTCGCCACCCCCCCCTTTTGTTTAGCGCTCACTGAAAAATCCGTGATGCGAAGCCTGAATTCCTCCCAGTCCCGGTGGCCACTCTCTGGCCCCACGGGGCTCACCCATCCTGAGGCACTGGGCTGCCAGGGGCTGGGTCCAGGCGCCTGGCCGTCTTCCCCGGGAGGGGCAGGTACTGACCGGCTCCCACGGTGCAGGGCCAGTGCAGGCGGCGCACAGGACACGGGCTGCTCCCCCAGCCCTCTGGGGCCGGCGCCCCCTCGGTCCCCAGGACACGGGCTGCTACCCGCTGGCGCCCCGTGACACCCACCCAGTGGGGGCGCCTGTGCTGGCAGGGACCCCCCCACCGGAGGCTGCGGCCGGGCCTCCCTGGTGCGCCGCTCTGAGGCCGCCGCAGCCGCTGCAGCGCGAGTTCGACCCCGGCCAGGGAGTGACCCCGGCGCAGAGACCCTCCTGTCCCCCGCTGCCCCTCAGCACTGGGTCTCAGTGGACCTGCCTGTGCTGCTCCCCACTCGGCCTCTGGGGTCCTCTCACCCCTGCACCTCTGCCTGTACCCCAGTGCCGTGCGCGTAAATAAGCCTTAGACAGACAAGCAAAGACGCAAGGCGGCCAGGAGGCCGGGCCAGGGCGGCCACGGGCGCCACGCGGGGGCTCTGGCCGGCCCCAAGGGCTAGGGGCTTGGGGCTGCCCCAGCTTCTTCCTCTGCTGCTTTCTTAAGATTTATCTATCCGCGCCCTCGGGGCCGGGGCACAGGCCGGAGGTGCGGGGCAGTGAGGACTCCCCAGAGACACAGCGGGGGCAGAACGGGCGGCCGGGCGAAGCCCAGTGCTGAGGGAGCAGCGGGCGGTCAGGAGGGGTCTGCGCGCCCTGGGGGTCGCCCCTCGCCGGGGACCGAGCTCGCGCCGCCCCGGCTTCACAAGAAAGGCCCCAACGAGCCGAGGGTTGGGGACTCCCCCGTCCGAGAGGGGGCACCTCTAGGCCGCAGCCACCGGAGCCCGAGGGCGTCCACCCCGGCCCAGGCCGCCCCTGGGCTACAGTGGCGGGGTGGGGACCCCACCTGCTGCTCACCTCCAGGACCCCCACGCAGGCTCTCGTGAAAAGCCATCAACGCCCGCAGGCGGGGCACAGGGAAGGCACCCCCAGAGCCAGCCTGGGCCCTCTGGCCTTCCTGCCCCACGGGAGGGGACACGCCCAGGTCTCAGGCCACCCACAGGCTGAGACGTCACCCCAAGCTGCTATCGGGGAGGGCGCCCTGGAGGGCCCGAAGGAGCGACACCCCAGGACTCGAGGCGCCAGCAGAGCACCCGATACCCGGGCTGAAGGCCCCGGCCGGCTCCTGCCGGCTGACGCCCGCGGTGCCGCCT